CATTCCAACGTCTGAGGTACTGCGGTACTTCCATCCCTCATTGGCAACTGAACTGCACGTCGATGCCAGTCCTGTAGGTCTCTGCGCTATTCTGATGCAGGTAGAGAAAGACGGCACGCGTCACACTGTACAGTATGCCAGCAGAGCGCTCACACCAGTTGAACAGCGTTACAGCCAAACACAGCGCGAAGCTCTGGCTGTAGTATGGGCCTGTGAACACCTTCACATCTACGTGATGGGAAGTCCAGTAACTATATACACCGACCACAAACCACTGGTGCCGCTGTACAATAATCCGCGGTCAAAGCCTCCAGAACGTATCGAACGTTGGACACTCAGACTCTAGCCGTACGAGATCGAGCTGAAGTATCGAAGCGGAAAGGACAATCCAGCAGATTACCTGTCAAGACACACACATACCGTCACTGAGTGCTCTAGGAGAGACGAGAGGGTTATGGAGGAGTACATCATCCACATTGCTGCTACCTCTGCACCCAAAGCAATGACCCTGACTGAACTCCACAACTGCACCGAACGCGATGCGACCCTGCAAGCTGTCATTCACGCCATCCGTTTTGGCAAATGGGAGATCGCGAGACAACGACCCGGTGTTAACACGGCATCATTTGATCGAATTCACAAAGTTCGAGGGGAACTGTCCGTGACCGAATCTGGCAACTTGATTCTACGTGGCACACGAATTGTTGTACCACATGAACTGCAACAACGCGCTGTCGAGCTGGCACACGTTGGTCATCAAGGCATGGTCAAGACGAAGGCACTCATACGTGAGAAAGTGTGGTTCAGCGGTATAGACCATCGAGTAGAGGAAATGGTTCGTAGTTGCATGGCATGCCAGGTAGCGACGCCAACCCAAACCCCTAAAAATGTTGGCACTGCCTGAACGTCCATGGTCAGAGATCAGCACTGATTTTGGACAGGTACCTGGCATGGGTACGCACTTTATGGTAATCTTCGACGACTTCTCACGCTACGTTGTCGTGGAACCAGTGTTCTCTCTCACAGCAAATGCTGTCATCCCTGTCCTTGACAAGATCATTGAAGAATTCGGTGTACCCGATGTGGTCAAGTCGGATAACAGACCCCCCCTTCAACAGCAGCGCATTCTCTGACTACGCACGGCACAAAGGCTTCAAGCATCGTAAGATTACTCCGCTGTGGCCGCTCGCAAACGCCGAGGCAGAACGCTTTATGAAGACGTTAAAGAAGTCTATTAAAGCTGCCATAGTGGAAGGAAAAAGCTGGAACCAGGAGCTGCACAGCTTTCTGCTGAACTATAGAGCAACTCCTCACAGCAGCATTGGCATACCTCCAGCTACGCTGATGTTTGGCAGGTCTATCAAAACAACCCTTCCTCTGATTGCGTTCGAGCAACCGCAGCACGACGTCCGCCAGAAGGACAGCGACTCCAAAGCAAGGATGAAGGTGTACGCGGATCGCAAGGCATACGTCAGAGAATCTCGTATAAAAATTGGTGAACCTGTGCTCATAAAGAGAGAGGGAATGAGGAGTCTGACCCCCCGTTTTATCCGAAACCCCTCATCATTACGAAGAGAAATGGATCGATGGTGACGGCAGAATGTCATGGAAAGACAGTCACCAGAAACTCGTCCCGTTTCAAACGCTCCCCCACACGTCCAGAAGACGTCCCGACGTCGTCTGATGAGGAGGAGGAAGAGCTGGGTCTGCACCAATACCCCGGACCAGACTATCTGCCGCCAGACACTGTGGTCCAGCACGCTCCAGGTTGTCAGGGCTACCCGAGGTGCAAGGTAGACCGCAGCGAGAGCGTCGGCTTCCGGAGAGATTTAAGGACTTCGTCATGGCATAGACATTCCGTTCAAGTTGGGGAGGAATGTGATGTCCAGCCCTATTGTTTACGTTTGGTATCGGTGCTGACTCTATGTGTGCAATGTGACGCATGCGCGAGCAGACATCCGGGATAAGAAAATAAAGGAGCAGCGGGAATGATTAGGGGAGGGCTCCTCACGACACCCCTTCAATGATTCACACCTTGCCCCTGTTGATTGTCGAGCGGGTCTTCGATGAGCTCCACAGTGCGGAAGCCGACGCGGACGATCTTGGGCGGGCGCGAGGCGGCCATGTTGTCCGTTGCGAAGGTGACCTCTACCGTGTACAGCGTCTGATTGCCAAGACCGTTCGGCCACCACGTCTCCACGCCCACCTCCTAGCGACGGGGACGAAAATATATAGCACCGACCAAGAAATGATAACGAAAAAGAAATGATTAAAAAAATGATAAAAATAGAGAATGAATCTATAAAAAAAAAAAGAATAAAAAAAAAGAAGTAACCTATAAATATAAATAAATGTTAAAAATGTGAGCGCATGAATGAACACATAAATCTGAATGTATAAATGAAGCGTAAATGAATCGATGAGCTCTAAACCTGTGTAAATCGCTGTGATTTTATCTCTACTAGAAGATACCGCGTGGGGGATGCGTCTGTGATAACGCGGGACTGTAGGCAAATTCTAGTAAGACTACGATTTCTACTGAGAATACTGTGGGGATAAAACCAGGGACAATGTGTGACCTTAATTGAACGAATCCCGCAATACTGAAATATCTACAGAAACATCCTGTTAGGAAGACACCGGGGTGAGGATTTAATCCTGTCTATCGATACTTGTGTAAAACCAACTAAGACATTGTGAAAAAAACATTTGAATTTGGAATTGCGAACTTTGCTGCATCTTGGTGGTATATACATTATCATCACTGTACATGTATCATGCGTAATGCAACATGTATCACACGGAGTAGCAAACTAGCAAGTAAAAGCCAATGCACCAATTTATCCAAATGCCGGATCCAAAAGGAGGCGCAAGAGCCCCCTCCCCTATGTTTTGTTCTCCCGCCCCCCCATTTGGCACGCAAAGCGTAAGCACCGGCGCTATCACAAAATCGCACCCCTAAAATGAAATCCTGGCTACGCAGTTGCGCGCCCCCCCCCCATCTCAAAATCCTGGATCCGCCACTGTATCATTTTATTCTTGAGCATGGATTGCAGCTTGCAGCATTCTCCATAAATAGTGTTTATACACATGGTGTAAGTAATGTGCACTTTGTGCTGTTTATCATACTCCATAAATCTATGCTGCCTAACTATTTCGATCCACCAGTCAATGCAAACAAATCGATGAGTTTAAGAGATGTAATCAATGTATATATGGTATTAATAGATGGTATATATAGATTATAGATCAGTTAAAGACATGTATAAATAAGGGACCTGGATGAAGGGGACGTGTAAACAAAACATGTGTAAACCTACTAGCCACTACAGCCACCTAGCTGATATATACAGATCTGTGAGCTGCACACTCATATCACCACGACATGGTATTATAGATATCTATCTATCTTACTGCGAGCATAGGGAGACATGTTATGTGCCTTAATTTAGCTAGCACACACTCACACATACGGGCACAGGGGTAGAAATTAACTTTTGAACAAGGGAGTCCAACGGACTCCCTCCCCTCAAAAAGAGGGAGTCCGCAGCAAAATGAGGGTGTCTGAAGTTCAAAACTAAAGATATTTTAACAATAACACATGTGCTTATTTTTTGAAGATGCATGAGGTTGCACGTCTGCCAAATTTTCTTTGGACATTTACTGAAACATTCCATGAGCCGTGCTCTGGAATGAACTAGTTAGTATAGCAGAATTTTCTGGGAGTCACACGGACTCCTGCATATATGTCAAATCAGGAAGTCCGACAGTAAATCAGGAGGTATTTGACTCCGGACTCGCGTTAAATTCGCACCCTGCATGGATAAACGTATACTCAAAAAACAACCTCACAACATAGTTATGTAGCAGTCGACTATTTGCACTTGTGTATATCGCTCACCCTGGGTATGGATAATGTCGCATTGACCGCATATTCCAGAGCTGAGTTCAGTGTGAACTTTGACCTTGCTTGTTATGTCAGCGTGGGAAACGGGACAACAAAATGGCGCTCTGCGATGACGTTGACGAGGCTTGCAAGAAGGCGTAACTGTCACATTCCAAGAATGCTGCTATTCCCTATGATAGCAAATGCAAACGTCATTGTTTAATTATTTATGTTAACAAATGCAAATGTCATTGTTTCAATTACCGATGATAACTAATACAAATGTCATTTTTTTAATTACCTATATGTTAATAAACACAAATGTCATTGTGTTATTTACCTACGCTATTGAACGAAAACGTCATTAATCTAATTAAATGCAATCTTACGCAATTTTATGAAGCGCAATCATAACATGTGGGTGAATGTTGAGAAGAATACATACATTATATATGTGATATATGATCTCAGACACGACGCCGACACAGTGCCCTTGCCATTGCAGGTTTACTGGGTTTCGTTATCATATCTTGTCTTCGCGGCAATAAGCAAATTGAAATGTGAATGGACGTTAATCAGGTTTAAGCTAAGTAGTTGGTACCTTAACCTAGTTGACACTGTTCTACGCAGACTTGTAGAAAAGCTATAGCAGAAATTTGTATAAAATGTTTAACCTTGTGTGAGTGACAAACAGTAACATCTCTGATCACTGGTGAGTGAAGGCTTCTATGCCAATATCTTTCCTAGAAGTTAAACGCCACTTGATATTACAAATCGAGTTAACACGTATTATTTACTGCAAGTATTAACATATTACAGGTAACTGTCCATGCTTATATTCCATGGTCTACACGTTTTCGCAATGACTTGAACCAGGGTATAAGCGTGCAATGCTCATTATACTTGGACTGTTGGCGTAACTATACAATGCTATCACACGGACATCTATCATGATCTAAATCTCTTAATTGGAACAGCAGCCACTGAGATACTACATCCTACTACACTATATATATAGCTACTTCTACCTACATCGTGAGATGTATCCTACCATATTCCCTGCGGACTACATCTTACTATACTACTTCTACCTACATCATGAGATGTATCCTACCATATTCCCTGCGGAATGAACGCCGGTCCCCAGTCCCAACTGAACGAACACTGCTCCTTCCGGATGAAGTTGGGATGGCACTCACCGTGCTGCGGTCCCGCGGGACACAGCGGCGGAACGTTCAGCATGTACTCGTCCGCTTTCCGCTTCGCGTACGTGATCGCCGAACGAAACGAAACCACGATCTTGTTCTCACCGACCTATCGTGACAGAGATTATGATGACGTGCACTACCGAGACTTGTTAGTTATAGCTCGCTAGCAAATATCGTTAGCATGTGCATTACAAAATTACTGCAGTTCAGCAGTACCTTATAGGACAGTATGTACAGGAGTAAATAATAGAGTATTACTTACTCCTTCTATGTATTGTCATGATTGTGTAAACCCAAACAAGATATTTAACCTCACGTAGATTCGTTTTATTTAGGAAACGTAGCTGAGCAGAACAAGATTACAAACCACCATGCCGAACTCCCGTAGCTCCCCCTGGCTCTCAAATATCTAACTAAAAGATAGACAACTCTCCTACAGGGCGCTACCGTCATTAATCATTATGACATGTATGTTAGTTGAACTGCTCTGTTTTGATCAAATGGTAGTTTACTAGTGATTATCTGCCTAATTTTTTTTCATTTTAACGACATGTTTTGAGACAGAGCAGTCTGATAGAGCACTCAAAAATATAGCAACCAAAAAATATCACGTGAAGGATGGTTTCAATGCGCACTGATAATGAACATTATTGATTTAGTTTCCAAGTTTCTTTCTTATCTAATTTCTCACAATGCAACGTGACAAATTAAAAGCCTAAATTGCATAACAATATAAATCCGCTCAAATTTCAACATCCAAGTCCTGTTACTGTAAGACAGTGATTACCATATCTACTTTGATCACTCAATATAAAATTTAATATATTGAGTATGAACTAATCTACTACCAGTTAGCAATGATGTAAAACTGATAAGTCACATGGAGGTAACCTACTGTCATCATGGGCTTTACATTGAAGACATATCTGACAAACATGTTCTCGCTCGTTCCTACGAATTTTCCATTAATCGTGATGTCAGAAACAGTGTCCAGTCCATCGCAGACGAGTTGAACCGTGTCCTTTTGCATAATAGCATCGCTAACTAAAACACGCAGCCATGGTATTTAGCATATGATACGAGCATAGAACTGTAACATGTTATATAACATTCCAATATAGTAATTTGGGGGCTGGGGTTTTACTCTGCGTCAGACATGATACATAGCAAATAGTCACAGATATTCAATTGTGTTCCAATGCATAATTATATGTGCATTCAATATAGTATATTCCACACTGAGTGAATCTGCATGTACACCATCAAAGCCAGGGTGCAGCAATCCATATGCAATGCATTGAGAAGCACCCTGCACAGTGAAGCTCCACCATTATGCATATATATATATATATGCCGACGGTATCGCATTGTGCATGACACTCAACAGCTTTCATGTGCAAATATTGTGTAAAAAATGTGTAATAATGTGTAAAAGTTGGAAGAGGAACATATACGACATTTAATATGGTTGCTTGCACACATACAAAATATTATATTCCTTTTAATAATTATACGCAAAACTACTAAAAGAGCAGCGGCCCGTGCATGGCTAGAGTTGTGACCATCTTTAAGCTTCGAACCTTCAAATGTCCGCGAGTACGTCCAGTTGTCATATGCGATCCAGCGATAAGCTACATCGTTAAATCTGTAATACGGGTTCCCAATGATGCTGGCATTTACTAGAGATGTGGTGACGGTTCCTGGAACATGGCCCTCCACATTGATACCTGTGAACATATCAATATTAAAACCATTACCAATAATCACGGCTGCTTCTATGTAATATGGCAATAACTGTATAAGCTATAGCATGTACTGCATTGTAAATAAGTATGGAACAAACTATACCCCCTCCCCCATCTCTCTCTCTCTCTCTCTCTCTCTCTCTCTCTCTCTCTCTCTCTCTCTCTCTCTCTCTCTCTCATGCTTCCCCTTGCTGTTCTCACAAATTCCTGCTTTCTAATTGCTCGATCTCCTCTTGAAATCTTAATTCCTTCCTCTCATTTTCTCATTACATTCGTAACTTACTTTTGTTACTATTTGAAATCATCCATTGCCCATTAAGAGTCAAGTTGGCTTCAGTGCTACTACACAATATGCAATTAAGGATGACTATGAGTAGAGACGTCTGTAGATGTAACCGTAACAACATGTTTACATGAACGACAGGAAAGAAACAACAACAGCTAGAAAACCATCGATAGTGAATGCGACTTTGCCGCCACCCCTCGAGTGATTCGAGTACATTTTTATTCACAGCACCCTCTATTGGTAGCTTTTTAAACTAAATCCAAGATGTCAGCGTCCGTACTAAGCGAAGTAAACATCATATGTACGATATGGAGATGTATTAGATTCACAAGTGATCATGTTTAATCATTTATCTAAGGGAATGCTATGCATTGCATATTGGTTAAATATTTGACTGTTAGGCCCCCCTACTTATCATGCTCCTTGGTAGTTATCCAATTTTATGAATTCAGAATTTCATTGTAAAAGTATGCTAATTCAGTAATTGCTATGTTACTATGTAGTTACAACTTGCGTATTGTAGGTCTATATGTCAATTGTCATGATGGATAATTGCTTAAATAAATAAATGCGTTAGTATTCTCTTCGGGTTATTCTCCATACCACACTTTTTTTTACACTGCAGGTTTCCTGTGCTGAACTCTGAAGTCTGAAGAACTAAAAAACAACACAAGAACTTGGTGAAATGGCAATGGATCTCGAAACTAACAGTGCTGATGCTAGTCATGTCAGTAACAAAAATATGACTCAGTCTACTGCGTATTGGTAGGTTGCTAAGTAAAAGGGCATTTTACAAATAATTACAATGTTAAATTGACTACGTCACGAATTTTCCACGGTAAAATTTGTAAAAAAAAATTCCCATTTTTTTACATTAAAAGTAAGAACTAACGTTACTAAATATATCCTCAAGCTCTCACCTGATAAAAATGTTTTTACGTTGGTTAAATTTGCAAAAATCTAGACGATTTGGTAATTTCTGTTGTCTAAGCACTATCCCAGTACTGTTCAGATACTGGCGTCTCTCTGTTTTTCACCGGAAATTAGGGCATATAAAGAAGGTATATAAGCATGAAAAGTAAACAGAAACACTAATTGTATTTTCATACGTTTTATCTTGTACAAATAACACACAAATATACTACTTGATGGTGCTAGAAATTTGTGACGTAATTGTGATGTCCAGCCCTATTGTTTACGTTTGGTATTGGTGCTGACTCTATGTGTGCAATGTGACGCATGCGCGAGCGGACATCCGGGATAAGAAAATAAAGGAGCAGCGGGAATGATTAGACAGAAACGAGGTGTTACAATCTTCGGAGTTCAATTATGGTTTGATAGCATCGATCAACAAACAATAAGAACGTTACATTGGCGACGAGGATGGGATCAAACGATCAATAAGGAAGCATGTGAGTGAAAATGGCAGCAATTCAGCTACAACCGCCTCCGTACGAGCCGTTTGATTTCCGATCCGAGGGCAAAAATGTTGATGGACGAAATGGCTGCGAAGATTGGAATGTAATGTTTTCACGGCTGTGGCATAGTTAACGGCGGTGCAAAAGAAGGGATTACTGCTCATGTACGGTGGTTCTAACCTCAACACATCGTAGACTGCTTCGATCAGCAGTTATTGGAGCCTATCCTGGAAATTCCAGGATCGGAGAGTCAAACAGCTGTGCCAGGTCAGGACGTTTACGGGCGAGTAACTGCCGCCATCACTGCTTATTTTAACCCGCGAGCCAAATTGAATTTCAAAGATACCTCTTCAAGAAAACTGTCCAGAATACACCCAACATAGAAGATTTTTACTGTATCCTCAAACAACTGGCAGAAACCTGTCAGCTCGCGGAGCCTAATGCAGAGGTTAATTTACAGATCATCATGGGTTGTCGGCTAGACAAGGTGCGTGACAAAGGACTGAGTGATCCGGACGTAACATTAGACCAGCTATTGCAATACGCCCGCAACCTTGAAGTCACACATGCACACTCCAAGATAATCAAGAGTCAAGGGGTTAATCTTCTAAGCCGGAACAAACCAACGTTTGCATCAAAGTCAAAACAGCATGTCCATAAACAGCCTGCCGGGAATTTCACCACTCGCCATCCAAAACCAGCTCCAAACAGCACCACTAAGAAGTGCCGGAACTGTGGAGGTCAGTGGCCACACCAAGGTGAATTCAAGAAATGTCCGGCATGGGGTCAAGCCTGTAGAAGTTGTGGTAAGCAAAACATTTTGCTGCTGTATGTTTGTCAACGTCAAGAGTCCACCAAATAGAGGAGGTAGAAGACACCGAGTGCACCTACAAGGTAAACATAGAAGGTCAAGCCGCCTCACCATATTTGACATCAACATTGCAACAACCACATCACCATGATGGCTGACTCAGGACGAAGCGTCAACCTGCTCTCTGAAGAATACTACTGCTCCATGCAAAGTCCGCCGCCGCTACAACGTTCTCTCAGCAAGGATATACGCGTATGGAGAGAAGACACCACTGCAAATGCTTGGAGAGTTCACATCGTGCCTGACATACAAGAACAGGTCATGTGATGCAACACTCACCGTAGTACGCAACAGAAGCGCCTCACTTCCCAGTTGGCAGACATCATGTCAACTCAAGCTTATCACACTGGTGAACGCCATTGGGAGATGCAACGCAGAACAACTGGTGAGTGAATATAGCGATCTGTTCACTGGTCTGGGTAAGCTGAAGGACTATAATGTGCACCTACACATTGATGAAACCGTCCAACCTGTAGCACAGACACATCGGCGCATTCCATTTCACGTGCATAAAGACCTTGAAGCTCAACTTCAAGCAGATGAAGACCTCGGAGTACTTCACGACCTACCGGCTTGACACCGTGGGTCTCTCCAGTGGTCTGTGTGCCGAAGAAAAACGGACAGCTTCGGTGTGCATCGACATGCGATGTGCAAACACAGCATTAAAAAGAGGGAACGCCCGTCAACGTCTACAATCAACGAACTTGTGAACGACCTCAACGGTGCGACAGTGTTTTCTAAGCTTGACCTAAATCAAGGTTATAACCAGCTAGAACTCGACGAGGCATCACGGTACATTACAACGTCTGCCACACACGTCGGCCTGAGGCAATTCACCAGGTTGAATTTCGGCATCTGTAGCGCTGCCGACGTTTTTCAAGAAGCCATCAGACAAGCCCTAGCCGTTCTCAATGGTGTCATCAACCTGAGCGATGACATACTCGTTTTCAGAACTGACCAAACGGCACACGATGAGAATCTCCGAGCAGCATTCCAACGTCTGAGGGAAAAAGGGCTCACTCTCTCCAAGAAGAAGTGCGAGTTCAACAAAACATCACTTGAATTCTTCGGTCACATCTTCTCGAAAGCAGGTCTTGCCCGCTGATCCATCGAAAATCCAAGCAATTCTGGAGATGGAACCGCCAAAGTCTGCGTCCGAGATCTGTAGTCTCCTCGGAATGTCAAACTACTGTGGGTCTAGATTCGTCCACGACTACGCAACAATCATGCACGACCTCCGAGAACTGACCAAGAAAGACATCCTTGGCAATGGTTGGCAAAACATCAAGCAGCATTCAACGCGCTGAAGACCGCACTGACACAAGCGCCAGTACTGCGGTACTTCCATCCCTCATTGGCAACTGAACTGCACGTCGATGCCAGTCCTGTAGGTCTCTGCGCTATTCTGATGCAGGTAGAGAAAGACGGCACGCGTGACACTGTACAGTATGCCAGCAGAGCGCTCACACCAGTTGAACAGCGTTACAGCCAAACACAGCGCGAAGCTCTGGCTGTAGTATGGGCCTGTGAACACCTTCACATCTACGTGATGGGAAGTCCAGTAACTATATACACCGACCACAAACCACTGGTGCCGCTGTACAATAATCCGCGGTCAAAGCCTCCAGAACGTATCGAACGTTGGACACTCAGACTCTAGCCGTACGAGATCGAGCTGAAGTATCGAAGCGGAAAGGACAATCCAGCAGATTACCTGTCAAGACACACACATACCGTCACTGAGTGCTCTAGGAGAGACGAGAGGGTTATGGAGAGTACATCATCCACTATGCTGCTACCTCTGCACCCAAAGCAATGACCCTGACTGAACTCCACAACTGCACCGAACGCGATGCGACCTGCAAGCTGTCATTCACGCATCCGTTTTGGCAAATGGGAGATCGCGAGACAACGACCCGGTGTTAACACGGCATCATTTGATTGAATTCACAAAGTTCGAGGGGAACTGTCCGTGACCGAATCTGGCAACTTGATTCTACGTGGCACACGAATTGTTGTACCACATGAACTGCAACAACGCGCTGTCGAGCTGGCACACGTTGGTCATCAAGGCATGGTCAAGACGAAGGCACTCATACGTGAGAAAGTGTGGTTCAGTGGTATAGACCATCGAGTAGAGGAAATGGTTCGTAGTTGCGATGGCATGCCAGGTAGCGACGCCAACCCAAACCCCTAAAATGTTGGCACTCCTGAACGTCCATGGTCAGAGATCAGCACTGATTTTGGACAGGTACCTGGCATGGGTACGCACTTTATGGTAATCTCCGACGACTTCTCACGCTACGTCGTCGTGGAACCAGTGTCCTCTCTCACAGCAAATGCTGTCATCCCTGTCCTTGACAAGATCATTGGAGAATTCGGTGTACCCGATGTGGTAAGTCGGATAACAGACCCCCCTTCAACAGCAGCGCATTCTCTGACTACGCACGGCACAAAGGCTTCAAGCATCGTAAGATTACTCCTTTGTGGCCGCTCGCAAACGCCGAAGCAGAACGCTTTATGAAGACGGTAAAGAAGTCCATTAAAGCTGCCATAGCGGAAGGGAAAAGCTGGAACCAGGAGCTGCACAGCTTTCTGCTTAACTATCGAGCAACCCCTCACAGCAGCATTGGCATACCTCCAGCTACGCTGATGTTCGTGAGGTCCATCAAAACAACCCTTCCTCTGATTGCGTTTGAGCAACCGCAGCACGACGTCCGCCAGAAGGACAGCGACTCCAAAGCAAGGATGAAGGTGTACGCGGATCGCAAGGCATACGTAGAGAATATTCGTATAAAAATTGGTGAACCTGTGCTCATAAAGAGAGAGGGAATGAGAGATCTGACCCCGTTTTATCCGAAACCCCTCATCATTACGAAGAGAAATGGATCGATGGTGACGGCAGAATGTCATGGAAAGACAGTCACCAGAAACTCGTCCCGTTTCAAACGCTCCCCCACACGTCAGAGAGACGTCCCGACGTCGTCTGATGAGGAGGAGGAAGAGCTGGGTCTGCACCAATACCCGCGGACCAGACTATCTGCCGCCAGACACTGTGGTCCAGCACGCTCCAGGTTGTCAGGGCTACTCGAGGTGCAAGGTAGACCGCAGCGAGAGCGTCGGCTTCCGGAGAGATTTAAGGACTTCGTCATGGCATAGACATTCCGTTCAAGTTGGGGAGGAATGTGATGTCCAGCCCTATTGTTTACGTTTGGTATCGGTGCTGACTCTATGTGTGCAATGTGACGCATGCGCGAGCAGCACATCCGGGATAAGAAAATAAAGGAGGCAGCGGAATGATTAGACAGAAACGAGGTGTTACAATCTTCGGAGTTCAATTATGGTTTGATAGCATCGATCAACAAACAATAAGAACATTACACTTTAATATCTGCACTTTAACAAAGCACTTTAATATCTGCAGGAATGTAGTCGTAGGCAGAATTCATGAATACATGTATTTCATGTACAGCATGTATTTCATGTACAGCATGTATTTCATGTACAGCATGTAATTCATGTACAGCATATATTTCATGTACAGCATGTATTTACAGCATGTATTTCGTCTCATGACTCTGACATTAGTATTTATAATAATAATTCAATGACAACATCTATTGTTTATTTAGTGTGGAATGGGAGAATCTGTTCAGTGCACCGGGCTACTATGCTGAACTCCGTAATTGCGCAATCAGAGGCGATCTCAGAAGCTGCCACTTCCGAAGCATCTGTTGGAAGGTAAGATGAGAAAGTTACACGACTTTCTGTGCATTTACAAATGCATGTGAGTACTATAGTCATGCTTATTCTGTGTGAACCCTCTGTATGCAATTAGTGTAGCAGACACTATCTATTTATTAATCTTCAGGCATTCCAGTGTGAATCAATCTAGCTACTGCATGTAGTTACACAGTCATGTTCCCCTTGTGTGGGTCCGATGATCAGAAACCCCTGGTGTTTAATTGTTGTTTAATTTGTCTTTTCTTTCAGCTATATCTCAGTGTTCTGCCCGAGGACACATGCGAATGGCAGGCGGAAACAAGCAAGCTAAGAAGCAAATATACATCTCTCAAGAAAAAGGTAAAATAATTTGCAATTTTAAATCAGAAGTACGGCCAGTGTTCAAATGAATACCAGGGTTTCCCCATGGGTTTAAAACTTGTCGGGTACGGCATGCCTTCAAAGCTGAAGCCAGTTTGGGACATCCCATCAATCTTCCGACATACCTTTTAACTGCCTAATCCACATGCATTAATTTCTAACCGTGTTTACCTTTGACGATCCCAACATAGTCATGCGCTGTGTTTTCAGAGCTTGATGTATACGTCGCCAAACTGATCTAGTTTACCTGTGTATCGGTGCCGTTTATGACATACATAATTGACCTAAGTTAGCAATTTGGGGTGAATTGTCTGATTACCCAACATGTCTTTTGGAACTCCTTGGGGGGGGGGGTGACCCTGCATACATTCAAGAGTGCTGATATATATGCTGTGGAAGCACGACATGTTAAGTAGAGAAATTAGAAAATGTTAAGTATGTTGCATTAAAGCAACCATCACTGTTTATAGCTACACCCCAAAAAATCAGGTGACACACGAGAGACATTACACTATATAATATAAACCCATATGCCAACCTGTCTTGTGAGGCCTTTGCCGTATTGCCTAATATTGATAACTATGCTTAGTGGGTGATTATGACTGCTCACTTCAGTTCATCACAAACCCCAGACAAGAGGAAAGCGCCAATCTCTTGGTCAACCACCCCTTATCGCAGTCCGAGAACAGTCCCTGGAACCAACACTTCATCGACGAAGAACTCAAGGTCACCATTAAGCAGGATGTGCGGAGAACGTAAGGGCAAACATGTTGTGGTGTTCGCAAAAGGATTAAACAGATTCAGATACGTATCAGTATCTTTATATTATAACGTCCAACATGGAAACAGGATGGTCCTTTCTCGATAGGTGGCATCACAAATACATTATCTTCAGCACAAGCTGATCTGATTCATATGCCGATATTGCGATATAGCAAAGACATTACACATATCTGCCTGAGAAAGTAACGATGTAGGAATGTTGGCCTGCATGCGTGCATGCGAGCGAGCGCAAGCTCATGCAAGCACATAATCAATTAATGTGAAGTCATAAAATGCTGTCGTGAGACTGCCATCTATTGAAGGCATGTATTCTCACATCTCTGCAGATTCCCAGAGATCAGATTCTTTCAGACACCCTCCATACAGCAGATGATGGTCGACATATTATTCTGCTATGCAAGAGAGTACCCGAATCTTGACTACAAGCAGGTATGCTGCAAACCCAATGGCTGATCAACATGTATTATTGGTCACTTACATCAATTTGATTTGCCAAGTTCACGAGTGCATTGACTAGTAGTTCTCAATCTGAAAATATTGCACTGGTGACATGTATGGCGTTCAGCATGATTCAATAGTATTGGCAGAAAGTAAATTTTGCACTGGGCATGCTTGTAAAATTCACCCAATATAATATCTAGACCCATGACATGTTGCGTGAATGTGAAAGTATGATGTTGTGAACGTATGATGTGTGAAGAATGACGTTTACGTCTCGTGTAAAATGCTGTAGTGCATGTAAGTGAACTGTGAGCAAGACATGTTACACTAATAGATCGTTTTGCTCTTTCCTTTCCGCAGGGTATGCATGAGGTGTTGGCCCCTCTCATCTTCGTCATTCACTGTGATCAACAAGCATACCTACATGCGCGAGACAACGAAGTGCTTAGGTGAGTTGGTGTTTTTCTCAAGGTTCTTGTCTGATAATGATTTTTGCATGTATTTTTTTTTTACAATTTACAGCTATTATAATAGTCGATCTTTAGCCAATGAGCCATACTTGCAGATACGTATTTATAAGTGGTAGCTATTGCATGACATATATTACTGGCAGAAATCTCAAGGTATTCGTATCCTTTAACTCTGGAATGGTTGAACCGCATAACACGTGCACCTGTATAGTTGCTTCAAGGTTGAATGTACCAAACTATATTTTGTGTATGTTGTATGACGTTTTTATGTATTGATGTATATAGAGTAAGAATGCGTAGGGGCACTAACGTAACTGAGTGTCTAATTTGGCTATTTTTGATTACAGGGATCCCATTCATTTTTTGCTCGATCCAGATTACATAGAACATGATGGTTTGTGAGTACATGATTGGTTTAACACTGGTAGCCTTCTTATTTTCTCTATTTAACATCTTGTGGTTCAATTAAGTCATCATTAGCTTAGTGCATTTTTAAAATTTTTATCAAAAAGAAGTCCAATGTTGCATCACCTATGCCATGTGAACAGGTTTGCTAGTGGTGTACCAGAAATCCGTGTGAGTTTGTTCACCATGTGTATATTCAGTGTAAGCGATTATGCTTACTGCTATGTTCATTTGATATTCTATTATCTATTCTTTAATCTATATAATTCCAAAAATATAATTCTATAATCGCTCGTTGTTACTTGTGTTTCACATCGTCCATCACTCACCATGCGCAGCTCCATGTTCTGTGAAGTGATGGAGACGGTTGACCCCTGGTATCAGACGAAGGACATTTTCCCAGTCAGAGTGAGTGCGCTTCTCAATTGACACATCACAATATGTCAAATAGTGTACATCGGTAATAATAATATAGCATAGTGTAATGCTAATCGGTACATGGCAAATAGATTAATGGATTGCGGCACGTGTCAAGCAAGGTCACTTGGTTGTACCGGCAGTGAGTACTGAGAGCATGCAGTAGCTGGCACCCTTGAATGCTCGGGTGCAATTCCTGTGAGACAAGGTGAGACGTGGGCATTACAGGAAGGGCCTGTTTCTTGGCTTGTGATAAGGCCAAGGAGTGATCACTTCATGACAGTAGGGTGTCATATAAACGCAATGGGGAAGGAATTTAAACTGTAGTATGCTAGTTTTCTACCGTTAAGGCCCTGGACCGATGACTGGTTAACATAATGTATGTGTGACGTGGACCCCACAAGGACAGCATGCTAACTGTAATGGGTACCCATTAAAGACTTGGACCCAATAACTGCATAAACGAGATACGATTGCCACAATGATCCATCGCAACAATGGCGACTGTCTGATGATGCTCTCTTGTTTCTCTCGCCCCTGCGTGCAGACGCAGGAGACGTCGATGCTGACGCTGTTCGCGCGCATTCAGGACACGAACCCATCGAACGTGCTCGTCAACAAGCTCAACCGCGTTCAGGACAAGCTGCTGAAGAAGCATGACTACGACCTCTACCAGCACCTCGAGAAGATGGAGATCCCACCGCAGATATACGGCATGTAGGTCACGCAGAGAGGCTGATATGTCATCTACATCATCGTTGTCGTCGCCATCGTCATCATTGTTGTCGTCGCCATAGTCATCATCGTTGTCATCGCCATCGTCATCATCGTTGTCATCGCCATCGTCATCATTGTTGTCGTCGCCATCGTCATCATCATTATCGTCTTCATCATCACAGTCGTTGTCATCATCGCTGTCGTCGTCGTCGTCGTCGTCGTCATTGTCGTCGTCATCATCATCGTCATCGTCGACATCATTGCCGTCATTATCATTATCTTCGTCATGTCGTCATTACTATAATCAGAAATGTATATATCCGAATTTAGTAAGAGGACAGTGGTGTCCGTGAGCAATTTGCATGCGAACGAGTTTCGTTGCCATCTTCCGCGATGCACCAATCGGCCGCCGCCGCGTTGTCGCGTTGTTTCTTGCAGACGGTGGGTGCGGCTGCTGTTTGGGCGGGAATTCCCGATGCAGGACCTGCTGGTGTTGTGGGACGCCATCTTCGCTGACAGCATGAGCTTCGACCTCGTAGATCACATGTTCGTCGCCATGATGATATTCATACGCGAGAAGCGTAAGTATCATTGTCATCCGTGCATGAGTCGCGGGTGTATGGGCGTGTAACACTTGTCACTGCCACCTGTGAAACTTGGCACTGCTGCCTATGGCATTTGGCACTGATACCTGTTACATTTGCCAGGTATCTGTGACACATGGTACTGTCACCTGTGATACAGGGCACTGTCACCTGTGATACGGGGCACTGTCATCTGTGGCATTTAACACTGTCACACGTGGCGTTTAACACATGTGTCATTGCATGAATGACTTTCAATATTTTGTGTGAATTTGCATTGTCGTTTGCTCGTAATCTGGTCTAAAATACGTAATGCATAGAATATTATTATCATTTTATTGAGAATTAATTATTAAATGCAGTTCAACCATTATACCCAGAGTTTATCTCAAAATCTAAATCGATTCTAGCCGTCTGTCATTAGTGTTATTGTAGCAACTATTTTCGTTGTGAGGTTTTCACTGTCAGTATGTTTGCACGCATTATTTACTGTGCCTTGTAGTGCTACGGAGTGACTACGCTGGCTGTCTAACAGTTCTGATGAAGTATCCACCGGTGAACGATATCTTCTATCTCATAAAGCGAGCATTATATCTACGCAAGCCTACGGTATAGAAGCACTTCATTGTTCGCTCATTCAAGGGGGAAATCCCGGGTGTTGAACAGAGTCGCATACGACATAAATTAGATTTCCTTGATTCTATAGGAGCACCCCGTGTGATTACGATATCGAAGTATCATTATTATTGGGGCCGAAACCAAGTTAATATCTATCTAACTCGTGTGTAATCAGTGGCCATAGCACTCCAACTTGATTTAATACAATTTAATTTAAATTTATTTAAATTTATTCAACATACCCGCTATTAAGAACCGATGAACTATGGTTTTAAAGGTAGTGTATGGGATCATGCCTCTGGCAAGACGCCTAACGGAAATGAAATACAATATATCCAACATGCTCGCTGTCAAAGCCTATAATAGAAGCACCATCTATCCAGCATACTTGTTATTAAGGCGCATAACAAAAATACAATCTGACAAAAAGATGTTCGATCGATCAAACATTCTTCTGGCTCGCATCGGAACATTCAAGTGCCTGCGTTACTGACTGCGCGTCAGCGAGGAGGCAATACGGCGCTAACGTTACCCTCTCGTCTTCGTTTCAGGTCTATCCCAACCCGAAGCACTATCCGGGCCAGCTCCCCGGCATGGCGCAGCCCATGTACGTGACACCATCTGCTGGGGCGCGGACGAAGGCGGCGGCGGCGAGCAACATCACAGGCCGCGCGGCGTCGATTCGGGACAAGATGGCGGCGCGGCCGAGCTCGCTGTCACTGAGGAGCAAGGCGTCGACGACCAAGGATACGAGTAGCAAGGAGACGAGTCGTGAGTGATGCGCGGGGTCGGATCGCCTAGTGTCTTGTCGTGCGGGGTTGGGTCGTGGACAGTGAGGGTGTGTGGTGTCAGCTTGCTTAGGGATTGGATTGCATGTGGTACTGTGACCTCTCCATCGCGTCAGTGACCTCTCCATCGCGTCAGTGACCTCTCCCTCTCGCGTAGGTGACCTCTCCTTCACGTCAGTGACCTCTCCATCGCGTCGGTGACCTCTCCCTCGCGTCGGTGACCTCTTCCTTGTGGCGGTGACCTCTCCCTCTGTGGTGGTGACCATCGTTCCTCATGGTGGTCGACCTCTCCCTTATGGTGGTGACCTCTGCCCTCATGGTGGTGACCTCTGCTCGCGTCGGTGGACCGTTCCCTCGTGGCGGTGACGCTCTTCCTCGTGGCGGTGACGCTCTCACGCTCGGGCCGGTGACCTCTCCCTCGCGCGTGACCTTCTCCCTCGTGGCGGTGACCTTCTCCCTCGTGGCGGTGACCTCTCTCTGCGGTACCTCGTCGCGCGTGACCTCTCCCTCGGCGCGGTGACGCCTCCAACCTCGTCTCGTTTGGCGGTGACCTCTCTCCCTCGTGGGCGTGACCTCTCCGCTCGTGGCGGTGACCTCTCTGGCGGTACTCTCTTGGCAAGGTGAGCTCCTCCTCCTCGTGGCGGTGACCTCTCCTGTGGCGGTGCACTCTTCCTCGTGGGTCGCGTTTGTGGTACCTCTTCCCGTCGGTGACTCCTGGGCTGGACTCTCCTCTGTACTGTCCTAGGCGGTGACTCTCCTTGTGGCGGTGACCTCTTCCTTTGGTGGTGACCATTCTTCCTCGCGCCGGTGACCCTCGGCGGTACGTCCCCTCATGGTCGCGGTGAACTCTCCCTCTGGTGTGACCTCTGGGCGTGACCTCTCCCTTTATGGTGTGACCTCTTCCCTCATGGTGTGAACCTCTCCTTATGGTGGTGACTCTCCCTCATGGTGGTAGACCTCCTCCTCGGTACGTGATGCCTCTCCTTTGTGGCGGTGCACATCTTCGTTGTGGCGGTGGACCCTCCCTGTCGTGGCGGTGACTCTCCTTTGTGGCGGTGACCTCGTCCTCGTGGCCGGTGACCTCTCCTTGTGGGGTTGACACTCTTCCTTGTGTGGGTGACTCTCCTGACCTTCCCCTCATGGTGGTGACCTCTCCCTTATGGTGGTGACCTCTCCCATGGTGGTGACCTCTCCCCAAATGTTCGGTGACCTCTCCTTTGGGCGGTGGACCTTCTCGTGGCTACTCTTGTGGCGGTGACCTCTGCCTTGTGGCGGTGACCTCTCCTTGTGGCGGTGACCTCTTCCACTTGTGGCGGTGACGCTTCTCTTGGTGGCGGTGACCTCTCCTTGTTGGCGGTGACCATCCTCCCTCGTGGCGGTGACCTCTCTCGTGGCGGTGACATCCATAAGCTATCCCTCGTGGCGGTGACCTCTCGCCTTGATGGTGGTGACGCCTGCCCTTGTGGCGGTGACCCCTTCCCTCGGGCGGTGACCTCTTCTCGTGGCGGGACCTCTTCCTCGTGGCGGTGACCTCTCCCTCGTGGCGGTGAGCTCTTGCACTTGTGGGTTGGTCGACCTCCTTGCTCCTTGCTGTGCGGTGACCCTTCCTAGACCGGTGAGTCTCCCTAGGGTGACACCTCCCTCGCGCCGGTGACCTCATCCCGCATGGTGGTGAACTCTCCTCTCGCGTCGTGACCTCCCTCGCGCGGTGACCTCTCCTCTCGCGTCGGTGACCTCTCGCTCTGCGTGCGTAGGGCCAGTGTTACGCCACCCGCTGGAGAACAGCAGTGAGGAGGTGGTGGTGGTGATGGCGGGAGCGGAGGCTGCAGCTGCAACGTCCCTGCCTAACACGCCCTCCAATCCTAACCCATTCCTCAGCCCGGCGAACGCGGCGGCAGGCAAGCAGGCGAGAGCTGCGGTGCAGGTGACAACAGCAACGAAGGACACAAAGGTAAGCAGGGAAGGTAGTAAGAGCTGTAGAGGTACATACAATGGCTAGCAGAGACTTGGTATTGTGTGGAAAGCACTCTCATGCGGTAGTAGCCAAAGCGAGCCATCGATGTAAGATATTTGCTATCACGGGTTGATGTGGCATGCTAACAAGCTCGGATTTCAATAAGATTTAATCCGTTGTCGTGTGGCATTATTAGGTAAGGGAGATGGTAGACTTAACCAAGAAGGGAAAGAGTGGGGCAAACAGATCTGAAGCAGAGGTGGGAGGAAGGAGGCCAGAGATCAGCAGAAGCAAGCGGGACTCATTCTTCAAAAATCTCTTACCCCAAAAGTCGATATCTAGAGAGGTATACATTGCACTACGTACGCACACAGTCATCTATTGTGATGGTACAGACATGTGTATGGTGGCCTAGACTGCATAAGGAAAATTTAAAAAAATTAAAAATTAAAATTAAATAAAATGAAAATGAAATGAAAATGAAAAAAAAATAATAATAAAAATGAAATGAAAATGAAATAAAAATGAAATGCAAATAAAAAAATGAAAAAATGAAATGAAATGAAAATGAAACAAAATTGAAATGTTTTCACAGTGGCCTATCGCTGCCATAGACTGGTACTCACTCCCACCTCGATACCCATCGAGTAACTAAGCCGAGAGGTGGGACCGGGTACCAGTCTATGGCAGCGATAGGCCACTGTGAAAAACATTTCAATTTTGTTTCATTTTCATTTCATTTTCACAGTGGCCTATCGCTGCCATAGCCCACAATGCACTCTGTTACCATCAGACCACAATGCAGGAGGCTGGTGGAGAAGGAGGAAGGGGAGAAGGGAGAAGGTGGTAGAGAAGGAGGAGGGGAGAAGGGAGAAGGTGGTGGAGAAGGAGGAGGGGGAGAAGGGAGAAGGTGGTGGAGAAGGAGGAGGGGAGAAGCTGGTGGAGAAGGAGGAGGGGAGAAGGAGAAGGTGGTGGAGGAGGGGGAGAAGCTGGTGGAGAAGGAGGAGGGGAGAAGCTGGTGGAGAAGGAGGAAGGGGAGAAGGAGGGGAGAAGGGAGCTGGTGGAGGAGGAGGGGAGAAGGGAGAAACTGTGGAGAAGGAGGAGGTAGAAGCTGGTGGAGAAGGAGGAGGGGAGAAAGGAGAAGTGGTGCAGAAGAGGAGGGGAGAAGCTGGTGGAGAAAGAGGGGGAGAAGGGAGAAGGTGGTGGAGGAGGGGGAGAAGCTGGTGGAAAGGAGGAGGGAGAAGCTGGTGGAGAAGGAGGAAGGGAAGAAGGAGGGGGAGAAGGAGGTGTGAGGAGGAGGGGGAGAAGGGAGCTGGTGGAGGAGGAGGGGGAGAAGGGAGCTGGTGGAGGAGGGGGAGAAAGGGAGAAGGGGAAAAGGAAGGGGAGAAGGGGAAAAGGAAGGGGAGAAGGGAGCTGGTGGAGGAGAAGGGGAGAAGGGAGAAGGTTGTAGAGGAGGGGGAGAAGCTGGTGGAGAAGGAGGAAGGGGAGAAGGGAGAAGGTGGTGGAGAAGGAGAAGGGGAGAAGCTGGTGGAGGAAGAGGGGGAGAAGCTGGTGGAGAAGGAGGAAAGGGAGAAGGATGGGGAGAAACTGCTGGAGAAGGAGGAGGGGGAGAAGGGAGAAGCTGGTGGAGAAGGAGGAGAAGCTGGTGGAGAAGGAAGAGGGGGAGAAGCTGGTGGAGAAGGAGGAACCTTCGACCAGCTTTTCCCCCTTCTCCTTCTCCACCAGCTTCTCCCTTCTCTCCCCTCCTTCTCCACCAGCTCCCTTCTCCCCCTTCTTCTCTCCTTCCTCCTTCTCCACCAGCTTCTGCCCCTCCTCCTTTTCCACCAGCTTCTCCCCCTCCTCCACCACTCTCTCTTCTCCCTGCCTCCTTCTCCACCAGCTTCTGCATCACCTTCTTCTTTCTCCCCCTCCTCCTTCTCCACCAGCTTCTCCCCTCCTCCTTCTCCACCAGCTTCTCCCTTCTCCCGCTCCTCCTCCACCAGCTCCTTTTCCCCTCTTCTCCCCTTCCGTCCTTCTCCACCAGCTTCTCCCCCTCCTCCTTCTCCACCAGCTTCTCCCCCTCCTCCACCACCTTCTCCCTTCTCCCCCTCCTCCACCACCTTCTCCCTTCTCCCCCTCCTCCTTCTCCACCAGCTTCTCCCCTCCTCCTTCTCCACCACCTTCTCCCTTCTCCCCCTCCTCCTTCTCCCCCTCCTCTTTCTCCACCACCTTCTCCCTTCTCCCCTCCTCCTTCTCTACCACCTTCTCCCTTCTCCCCTTCCTCCTTCTCCACCAGCCTCCTGCATTGTGGTCTGATGGTAACAGAGTGCATTGTGGGCTATGGCAGCGATAGGCCACTGTGAAAATGAAATGAAAATGAAACAAAATTGAAATGTTTTTCACAGTGGCCTATCGTGGCATAGACTGGTACGGTCCCACCTCTCGTTAGTTACTCGATGGGTATCGAGGTGGGAGTGAGTACCAGTCTATGGCAGCGATAGGCCACTGTGAAAAACATTTCAATTTTGTTTCATTTTCATTTCATTTTCATTTTTTATATTTTTTTATTTGCATTTCATTTTTATTTCATTTTCATTTCATTTTCTTTTTTTTTTTCATTTTCATTTCATTTTCATTTTATTTAATTTTTTAATTTTCCTTATGGCAGTCCTAGGCCACCATACATGTGTACCACAGAGCCTAAAATATACTGTGAACTAGTGGCCCTTTGTCGTGAATATCGTCTTCGTATCTTGACTTTTTGGTGGTTGTAAGGGTGGTTAGATTTGTTGTGATAGCTGGATAACATCTGGTTTACAACATTTACAGGAAATGGAGGAGATCGGTAGAGATCTGGAATACCTACAGTCACGTCTCACTAGCTTTCAAACCATGTGCTCCTACTGTGCTACCATGATGGACACCAATATCGGTACATAGCCATCAGAACTATTCTTTGGTAGATTTTCTTTAGTATGAATTAGATGAATTCATCTTATAAAGTCAAAATAGAATGGCAGGAGTGAGTGGTAGTTTTTAAGCATATATTGAAGCATATGAATTGAATATTATTTTATTATTATTTTAAATATATATTGAAACATCTATTTTAAACATAAATTATTGAAGTAGTAATGCACATATATTATAGAGATGCTATAAATACACTGTGCGGTCGTGATTGATGTACACGGATGGATGGTTTTGTAATCCCCGTTCTTGTCGTTCGTTTCAGAACTACTTCAGCAGACGATGCTTCAGCGAGAGTTGCCGCTGGAAGACGACATGTACATAGGCCTGGCTGGACTGAAGCAGGTATGTGCACGCACACTTGTTTCATCGTACTTCGACGTCGTTCAGTCTATATCCCATCACTATTTGTCAGTGCCTCTTGGTTGCTATTGGAGTCCACACTTGGTAGCACACAATGAAACTAAATGAGACATTGACATAGCTGTCACAGCTAGCGTTCTTTTTATTCAAATGGCGTTGGAAATAGTGACGGATATCCGGTAAAGATCTCAAGGTGGAAATGCACTAGAGTGGACAGCTTGATTCCGTGTAGACAAACGAGGTCGACATTAATATTTCCAGATTTATGTAGATTTATTTTGAAATCATTGCTCAAAAATGCACAATCTGAAAAAAATATATAGCAAAATATAGTCTCACCTCATAGCAGATATATTACTGATTACACCAACTTTAAAAAAACCATAAATTTATGCTGTTATAGCATAGAAAATTGGAATTGAACACGACGTAACACCATGACATTTTTGATTATAGCGACAATTAGACAAATACCCTAAATAAAAACATTACATCTTGCCTTGTCATGCTCTGTAGGTGAGGGACATGCTAAAGGGAACGCTAGGCTTCACTAGCAGCGTGGTCGCTACGGAAGCAGCGCCACCTATCAACGACCGTAACGAGGGACAGCCGTCCGACGGCAGACGACAGGACGAGGTCGCCGGCGATGCGACGTTAACGAGCATCTCGCACGGAGGCAGCGACGTCACTAACGATGGGGAAGGCATCGTTGCCGCGGACGATGGGGAGGGCGTCGTTGCCACGGACGACGGAGAGGGCGTCGTTGACGCAGACGACGGGGAGGGCATGGTTGCCGCGGACGACGGGGAGGGCGTCGTTGACGCGGACGACGAGGAGGGCATCGTTGCTGTGGACGACGGGGAGGATGCCGTCGTGGCGGCGGCTGTGACTCGCACACTCGGCAGCAAGAAAACAGAAGCGGATATTGAGCGGGATGTTCGGATGCCGGGTAGCGAGGATGAGAAAGGTCGGCCATCGCGCGATGACGGCGACAGCACGGGGAGCGGGTCGTCCGACAATATACCCTTCGACGCCATGCAGCCGATGCAAACGTCTGCTAGTTTGCCAAAGTCGGCCTGCCGGAAGCTCTGATCATCGAAAAACTAAGGAGTAACGTCATTGTTACAGACGATCCCCTCAGTATAGACTGACTGACACATCTAATGCATTAGGCTGAGTTCGAAGATGAGTGAGTGGTGCAGATGTTAATAAATGCATTCAGGTAAATGATCATGTAGGTACGAGCTATAGGTGGGCAAGCGAAGAGGCATTTGATCTGTCAGTGAATCTTTTTTTTAATTTTTAAACTGACAAAAATGGACAGCTAGGTATGTTAGAGCTTGCAGACATTTTCTATGCACTCATTTCTAGCGTTAGATAGAAAATAGTAATACATTTCATAGTAGTAGCCATACATGTGTATGGCAGTGCGATTGAACTCTAGTGCAATTGCTACTGTTATCTAGTTTGTGAAGTATAGTTGTCAATTATTGTTTCTATTGGAATTAATTACGAGAACAATCGCTTTGGGACTAACAATCCACTAGAGCCTGTTATGCACATATAGAAATCTATTCACGCATTAGTGCAGTAAACTAATAAGAAAGATCTCGTGTAAACACAAAAATATTTACAAATGTGTATTGAACGTGGTAATAGAACGTGTGTAACGTGTGTAAAAGAACGTGGCTTATAGGGCTGATATATGGGTAAAACAGATAATTGTATGTGATTGCAAGTTAAAGCAGTGTCCAGATTACATCTGTATATCTAGTATGGAAGCAGTAATTTTCATGAGTTCCAGTGATTTAGAAAATCAAATACTTGGCGTTTTTTGTATATTTGGCATGTAGCGTGTAAATGTTGAGCATAGCATTTAGTTTTCTGCACAGAGCTGGTGTATATAGAGACACTAAGCCAGACAAGCGAGTGGGTGTAATATATTGGTGGTTCATATCGAACTGTGACAGTGAGTATTAACACAAACATATGTACTACCTATGGTATCCAGAGTAGACAAAAGAGTATTATGTTTCTCTTTTATGTGCTCCTGCTAGTATGCATAATGTTCATGTTGTACTTAATTATTACGTGTGTGATTGTATAATAATTGTATAGCATGTCAAAGGAGTGGCACCAATTACGTTATTGATTGATGGCAAATATAGCAAATAATAATGAAATATTTGTTATTTACAACCTTGCTCTTATAGATTTAATCACATATTTTGTACATATGTAATTTGGTTATTTTCATTATTTGCAAAATGTACACAGTGAACTAATATTAAATGTTATTTAAAAAAATTTAAATACAAAACTAAAAAGCAGCCGATTTAAATAACCATCATATACTTAGAACATACGAAAACAATTGGCAACGTTAACCTTCCACAATGTGTGCATTCTTCAGTACTTATACTAACTGGTGCACTATTAATATATGTTCCCACATATAACACACCCGAGTAAAATAACCTTAACAAATATCTAGCACCACGCAAAAGGCTCTGACATAAATTGTGCTATATATAGTCATTGGACAAAGGAACTGCAAATAATAAACAATTGTACATCTTAATCGTGCTTTTGCTAAAATTGCTTAACCTTTTGAAAGTTTATGCCTCCTGAAGTTCATCAATGAGCTCTTTGAAATCTGTTACGAACCACTTTGATTCCTTCTTTACCTTGTCCCTAACCTGATTTCCTCCAAACCCGATGAAAGCATCCTGAAAGGATATAAATTCCAATGTATATGCAGCAGCTATGGATATGGATTAACAAAGCTGCACAATTTTCTTGGGCCCTTGATTTATGGATGAGCTATCTATGACTGTTAAGTATGTTACATTCATATTTTTAGCTCATCTGACATAGTCAGATGCAGCTTGTAGAATCGCATGATCGTCCGTGCGTCCGTGCGTCCGTAATTCAAGAAATGTCCGGCATGGGGTCAAGCCTGTAGAAGTTGTGGTAAGCAAAACCATTTTGCTGCTGTATGTTTGTCAACGTCAAGAGTGCACCAAATAGAGGAGGTAGAAGACACCGAGTGCACCTACAAGGTAAACATAGAAGGTCAAGCCGCCTCACCATATTTTGACATCAACATTGGCAACAACCACATCACCATGATGGCTGACTCAGGAGCAAGCGTCAACCTGCTCTCTGAAGAACACTACTGCTCCATGCAAAGTCCGCCGCCGCTACAACGTTCTTCAGCAAGGATATACGCGTATGGAGAGAAGACACCACTGCAAACGCTTGGAGAGTTCACATCGTGCCTGACATACAAGAACAGGTCATGTGATGCAACACTCACCGTAGTACGCAACAGAAGCGCCTCACTTCCCAGTTGGCAGACATCATGTCAACTCAAGCTTATCACACTGGTGAACGCCATTGGGAGATGCAACGCAGAACAACTGGTGAGTGAATATAGCGATCTGTTCACTGGTCTGGGTAAGCTGAAGGACTATAATGTGCACCTACACATTGATGAAACCGTCCAACCTGTAGCACAGACACATCGACGCGTTCCATTTCACGTGCGCAAAGACCTTGAAGCTCAACTTCAAGCAGATGAAGACCTCGGAGTACTTCAACGACCTACCGGCTTGACACCGTGGGTCTCTCCAGTGGTCTGTGTGCCGAAGAAAAACGGACAGCTTCGGGTGTGCATCGACATGCGATGTGCAAACACAGCATTAAAAAGAGGGAACGCCACTCAACGTCTACAATCAACGAACTTGTGAACGACCTCAACGGTGCGACAGTGTTTTCTAAGCTTGACCTAAATCAAGGTTATAACCAGCTAGAACTCGACGAGGCATCACGGTACATTACAACGTTTGCCACACACGTCGGCCTGAGGCAATTCACCAGGTTGAATTTCGGCATCTGTAGCGCTGCCGACGTTTTTCAAGAAGCCATCAGACAAGCCCTAGCCGTTCTCAATGGTGTCATCAACCTGAGCGATGACATACTCGTTTTCACTGCGATAGTGGGCGTGTCCTAACAATGATGTGTACGCAACTGCGTGTCTGCATATCTGCGCCTAACAAATGTGGTACTACGCACGACTGAAATTTTACGTTTATAATCGTAGCAACAGACCTCAGATGAGCCCAGACGCTCTGCGGCTCTTGTTTAATTATTACATACTATTATATATACTTTTTACTCACAGCATGATTTGGAAAAGTCTCTAGATCGGTGGCGCCATCTCCAACCATGACGATTGTGTTGTAACCGTGGGTACTTCGTAGTTGGTCTACGACTCTTGACTTGCCACCAGATTCAGATGTTGGCTCATGCACATCGAATCCAGTATAGTTACCTAATGTAACAATTAATAACATTAGGTGTATAATATAGATATAGAGTCTATATTATAGACTCCTGATAACATGCTATAACAAATAGCAATGAGAACACTAATGAACAACTAAGTTCTCTAATCCTATGTAGCTTTTCTGGGTTGTTGTTTTTTTTAAAGATAGAAAAATCAGAGAGAAAATTGCACCTTGGTCATCAAACAGCAGCCTGTTCGCGTAGACATTTTCAGCGGGAACGTCTAGTAGTTTTGCGAGTGGAAGCAAGAAAGCTCTAAAGCCTCCTGATACGAGGTAGACTGCAGCTCCTCTCTTGTGCAATAGCTTCATTAATTCCCTGTCAATACACAGTGTTACACACATACATATAGAGGTACACATAATAATAATTATTAGCATCAACACACCTACAAATGCATGTCATACACATGTGCAGGTTTAGAATGACATAATATCAGGAGTAAATAATAGAGATCTCTATATTATTCACTCCTGATATTATTGTACCAGATTCTGTATGTGTCTGTAGTACCAGATATCCAATGTCCAGTGACACAACATTACTTCCCTAACCCTATTGATTTCCCCACAAAATGCAAGTATGTGCCAAATGCTCTGCATACGTCTTATTTTCTGGAAGTAATGAACACTATGCAGAGACTTAATGCGTGTGACCTAACCACATACAGCAAATCCAAGTCTAATATTCGACGAAAACCTATAGGTTACCTAATCCTAGGTGTAAAACTGACAGATTGCTTTTCTATAAATGACTGGTACTGAGCATGCTTTGGATTCATTAGGTCCAGTCTCTGCTTCAACGCACTCCTAAAGGTCACATCTCCTTTCATGGCATCCGCAGTTCTAAAATGTAAAATTAGTGTCAATAAGAAATTTTATACTCTACTTAGACTGACTTGACAAAGGTTTTCCACAATCAGCTCTGGTATGTATGCTAGGTGAGACCAGCGAGTCATATATTAGGTGGTCAGTCTTATTTTTATCTAGCCCTACTAACATAGCCCTTCTCTCTGCAAGGGAACCATGGTAGAGTGGATATAGGGCTATATATATATGTACATTGTCAGTTTTCATGATGGTATGCCAGAAAACCAATATTTAATCAATGCTATGTATAGAGGCTTGCTGATGTGTGTATAACCTGTGTCAATAGCAAATGATAAATAATGCAAAAAGATTCTTACACGCGACTTCATACACCTTGCGTGTGTATGTGCGTGTACCTAATTACCCCTGAACGGGCAACCCTAGCAGTAGCGCCCTCATGCAGGGTACGCAGGCTGGTTATAGTGAGTATATAGTGTACTGTTTTGGAAGCTCTACCGGTGGAGACTCACTCGATCGATCGCTCCCGCTACCTGTAGCAGGAGCGAGTGGGTCTCAATGGGTAGAACCATGGTTTGTGTAGATCCAATAATGATTATATTAATTATTATCGATCATTGATTATGATAAAGATGCAATAATTAAATTAATAATTAATAAATTAATAATTAAAGGGATCGTTTACTCTAGGTTCTAGGGTTATTTTCAGTTAATTTAGGTTAAAATTACGCTACATAAAAAGTTTCATGGTTCTAATCACCATTAGAAATATTATTAAAAAATGTTTTAAAATTAACGACTACAGTTTGATTACAACGATGGTGGCGCCACTCAAAGCGCACGATCTGATAAGTTGCGCAAAACCACTTTTCAGCCAAGGGCTACAGACCGAGGGTGTTTCTTATTTATTAATTTAAAAGTAAAAGGATTGTAATATCTTATAAACAACATATAGTTTCAGTTATATTATGGATAAATTTGTCCTAAAATGAGCATCGTTCGGTTAAATAGCATTTAGGTATAAATATAATTGCACCTTTGTGATTAGCCCTCGGTCTGTAACGTGCAAAATGAATTGGCAAATGCGCAACTTTTTCTGGGTGGCAGCATGGTCGCGGGTGTCATGGCGCCGTTCAAATTTCGTAGCGTTGATGTGTAATTAATTATAACAATTAAATTAAGCTCAGGAAAGTTAGCTCCCAGTTACCAGTTCCCAGTTCCTTATTCGAATAAGAAACTAGTAACTAGGCAAAGCAGTTACCAGTTCCCAGTTCCCTGTTCCTTATTCGAAAAAGGAACTAGTAACTAGGCAAAGCAGTTACCAGTTCCCAGTTCCCTGTTCCTTATTCGAAAAAGGAACTAGTAACTAGGCAAAGCAGTTACCAGTTCCCAGTTCCCTGTTCCTTATTCGAAAAAGGAACTAGTAACTAGGCAAAGCAGTTACCAGTTCCCAGTTCCCTGTTCCTTATTCGAAAAAGGAACTAGTAACTAGGCAAAGCAGTTACCAGTTCC